AGCTGGCTGCAGGCCCACAGCAGCACGGCGTAGTAGATCTCCATGTGGGCTGAGTGGCGTCCTCAGCACCGGTCTCTGCAGCTTCAGAGAACTTCAGCCAGTGCTGTATCTGCCTCGCTACACGCTCACTATATTAGGGGGAAGGAGGAGGGGACTCAGGCAAGCTGTCAGAGGCCACACACTCACCGGGAGGGGGCTGAGGTCCGTCCCCATTCCTACATAAACATACATGCACACACAGGGGGCAGGCTAACACACACCTACACACTCACCAGGAGGGGGCTGAGATCTGTCCCTATTCACACACACACACACATAAAGGGCAGGCTAACACACACATACACACTCACCAGGACGGGGCTGAGATCTGTCCCTATTCACACACATACACATAGGGGACAGGCTAACACACACCTACACATTCACCAGGATGGGGCTGAGATCTGTCCCTATTCACACACATACACATAGGGGGCAGACAAACACACACATACACACTCACCAGGAGGGGGCTGAGGTCCATCCCCATTCACACCAGGGGCAGCACAGAATAATATTCTAGTCAACAAGCTGACTTTACTGCTTTTCCATGACACATTAAGCTTGACATGTGATTATGACACTAACAACATGGATGCCTCAGAGAATAACAATTATACGGAAGTTTTGGTAAAAGAGATAATGGAGCAAAATCTGAGCAGATGGAACTATTTTTGCACCTCAGTTACATTTAACACATAAATTAATACCCTTTGCTTGCATCTTTATATTTCTGCATCAGAAAATTCGATCGATAACCGGTGTATTTTTATCTAATATCACCAGTGCTGGTGGTGACACTTACCAGCACTTATTAGTGGAATAACATTACATCATTCTTTATCCTGTGGAAAATGAAAGACTGATCTGGCAGCCAGATTTAATAATGAATTACAAACAAATGTCGTATAAATAAAATATAAATAAAAGGCTGTGTCCCATTTTGATCATGATCAACTCCCCCCAAAATAAATAACAAATAATGAAGTCTACTTGTTTATCCTCCTTTGTTTTGGGGTTGCGGTATATTTTAGTGTGAAATTACATGCTTTTTAACATAAAGGTCACTCTTCCTGTTGTGCAGTGGGAAAGCAACACACAAAAGTGGCCAGGAGGGTGTTCCACAAAGCAAGAATCCTCAGTTAGCTTAATTTAAGATAGACGTCCAATTGGAATGCTACATACTTAAACTCTTATACAGCAATCATGAGCATAAATTAATCCAGCTAACCAAGAAATTTTGCTTTGTGGAATACCCCCCAGGAGCTACCGAGGTGGCCAGGAACTAAAGGTGGGAAAGCGCCTTAGGACAGCGAAGAGCAGGCTTACCAGCTGCATCTTATGTGAGTTTCGTTTTCCTCCCTAAGTGTTTCACTGGCATTTCAATCTTTGTTCTTTCACACTTAAATGGAAGTTGAAACAAACAAGTGTTCTTAATTGTTGCATAAATTGTTGCTGCTGAATTGTAACCTGTTCTTGCTTCTGTTTTTTTCTGTTCTGCATGAAACATATGTGTATGAGCTGTCAGCATACAAGTAAATACGTTTAGCGAATACAGATGGTAAGAGGGCTGGGGTCTGTCCTCATGTGCACACACACACACACACACACACACACACGCTCTGTGGCCTTTCAATGCATTTCAGACACTTGTCTTCTGTGGTTTACTCTTGGCACAACCTCTTTCTTCTGCTTTAACTACTTCACACGGGTGTCAACGTGGTCCTCAATACAGGCCAAGCACAAGTGGGTGACCCTGACTGTCACACCCTGGCCAGATTATACTCTTAGCACTGGGGCCGATTCCAAGAAAGCCCCAAATCAGAACCCCCCCCCCTTCAAAAAAAAAAAAAAAAAAACTCTGTTACCCGAAACCACATGATACAGGATTCTGACCATAAACATCACTCATGTCCTTCACTCACATCGCCCAAGTGTCATAACATTTACCACAGTAATCTACCAGAATCCGACTCACCGCATAGTAAGCTGGCATCACAGAACATCCAGCACTTAACTGTTCCACAGAGACTTTCTGATTTAATTGATGGCACATTACAGGACAATGCAGACTGTGTTCACATTAAAACAGCATAATAACGGGTGACAGTTCTGTGGCATCTGCTTGTTCCCTTACACTTTCCCCATGTGCATTCTTACATTATGATGGGATCCACTGGATATTTCATTGTCCGGTATGCAAGGAAATATTTGTCCTTAAAAAGATTTCAGCTCAACAGCAGCTAGGCTGATTACTAGGGGAGGAATTTTGAACGTTCCCTTCTAGTGACACTTCATTAGCTACCTCCTGTCTACCTTCTCAAAAGAGCTAAGGAATGTTTCCAGAAGTCAAATATTTGAGAAAACAATCCCCCTCCGTGCCAGTTTTTCTTTTTCCTACCTCCTCTCCGTTTCCCTCCCTTCTTCCCATGTCCCTCACTGCAGATGATTTTCAACCTAAGAATCGGAGACATTGACAAGTCTGATTTATTTGATCTGTCCAAAGCAAACCTTGCAGCTGCACACCAGCTGATCACCAACTGGCACCTCTCCAAACTACATGTTCTCCATTCACAGTGATCCCTCTCTCCAATGGCTGCTCAGCAGAAGGCCAACGGCAAACCCTTCCAGCAGCAATCATTTTTGGATCTGCAGCTAACTGTCCAGCTTCACTCATCAATTTTCTTTCCATGACACAAGGTTGTGTGTCTGCTTCTCAACGTGACCTCACGGTCAAACACTGTCAAGCTCTCAATCCCACACACTTCCTCTAAGGTTCCTCCTCCATTATTTGTCATTGAAGTTTAAAGGTCTTTCTGGCAGTTAAAGGTCTTTCTGTCCCCCAGTGAAATCAAAATCAACACCACTATTGTAACCAGCATCCCTTTCCAAGATTACAGTTAGGTGACGTGAATAGATAATCTTCTCCCTCAACAGCAAAGCTGAGACTTCACCCCTCTTCCCTGTACCATAGATCTCAAAGTGTGCTGAATGAAATATTGGATGGACATCACTAAAAGGTTCACCTCCTTTCTGAGATGAGAGCGCAAATCCTGCATTGATTGGATAACAGTAGGACGCTTTTAGCAATATGTGCAATTCCTTTGAAATCTTTACTTTTTATTTATTTAACAGACACTTTTATTTAATGCGATGTACATTTTCCAGAAAGCAGGATCAGACAGTCCCTGGAGCAACTGAGGGTCAAGGGCCTCGCTCTGCCAACCCCGGGATTTGAACCAGTGACCTTCTGATATGGGCAGCAAAAGCAAATGAAGAAAATGCATTTAATTACATGTTATCTGTGTTCTTAATATGTACCAAATGAATGTGGTTAGTTGCGGAGTGTAAATCCAATCCCATCATACCAGGGTTCACGTTAGAGTTCAACCAAGGAGACCTCAATAGATAGTTGACATGAGTGTTTATTTGGTTAAACAATTTAAATGAGTATGTGAACAGTGATTTGGCGAAGCCCGTCTCTTGGTCGTCGGTTCCATCGACTCTGAAGCCGACAGATCTGGCTGGGTGACCAGGCAGGAGGCGAAGGAGTCAAACCCCGGACCAGGACGGGGAGCCGAAGATGGAGGAGAGGAGGAGGCGGGAGATCTCAAATGTGAACCCAAGTGGGTTGCTTGAGTCACTGCAGCCTCTTGATGTTCTGCTGCTTTTCCATTTATACACGTCATCCTCCGGCCTTGATGGGTTGATTGCCCCCCACTGTTCAAAAACGCGGTACTTTTCCCAAATTGCTGTCAAACACAGGGCTGATATATTTGCATGTATTAGAAAATGAAGATAATTGGAAGGCCAAAATTACTATAGCTATTATCTCACAATACCTTCAGTGGGATATTAAGAATGTCTTGAATCTGATAACAGAATTGGATGCAGGAATAATAAAAAAGGCCGCAAGTGAAGTTGGTGCAGTTGAGCCTTGTAGGTGATCCCCTGACCCAAACTGCATTCCCCTGACCCAAACTGCATTCCCCTGACCCAACCTGCATTCTCCTGACCCAAACTG